AAAGGTTTGGTTTTTGGTTTTTGTTAAGCATAAATGTTTTTGTTTAAGTTTTTGTAAAAGTGTTTAAATATTTAAGTAAGTGTTAAGACTGATTGGCAAAAGTATTAAGTGTTAATGTTGATAATGTTGAGTTATTATTTTACGTTATTAATTATTATTATTAATTATTTATGATGATCAACATTAAAAATTTTTTTTGAGCCATTGTTTACTATTAATTTACCACGTGATTCCCCCTACCCTTAATTCATGCTGCATAACAAGGATTTTGTTTAAACAAGTGCGAGTATACTTCCAACCCATTAATACAATCAAAAAATTAAAATATTTATTTTAATTAATAAAATGATGAATTAGGAAGATAGAAAAAATTGTATCGGCAACTTAAATGGCTTTTAAATTGAAATTTTCCTCAACGTCCAATGTAAAATTCAATGGACATACTAACCAAATCTGGAAATTAACTTGCATATTGTATAAATTTGTATATACGGCGCACTTGAATTACATTGCACATACTAATACATATTAATATTAATATTAAAAAACTTTCCGCTATTGCTTAGGTTATGTAGATTGCAAAAATAGAGTTGTTAAAAATTGATAATTTTTTTGATGTCTTTAGATGACGTGGACCATAATGATGGTGGTGGTGGTGGTGGTGGAAATAATAATGAGTATGAGAATCATATTAGTACATGTGAAAATACTTTTGACGATATAAAGGATAACTTTGAAGCTGCACAGTTCAATGCAGAATTCTGTGCTAGATTGCTGAAAAGAATTGAGAATCCAAAACCAGAATATAGGTTTGATGGTAGTGGTAATGAAAAATCTTCAGAAAAATATAAAAATCATTCAGAAGCTTTTTTTACAAGACGACCATCAAGGGAATTAATTGAAAAAAATAGTTCACCAAGTAAGTTATTTGAACAACTCAAAATTTCATCAGATAAATTGGATCAACAAAATTATCTAAGTGAATTAATTAACGAACTAAATAACAAATTAAATGAATTAAATAAAAGAAATGATGATGAATATGAGTTAGTTGGCTTAAATAATTTATCAAATGAGTTAATTGAAACATTAAAAACAATAGATAATTGCATTGATTGTAAAACAAGGCTGTTAAATGATAATGAAATTACAATGTCACTTAATGAATTAATTGATGTATTAAAAAAACCATTAAATAGTTTAGAAATAAATATTAGAAAAAAAATAATCAACAATTTAACTGAAGGGATATTCAAATTAGATAATCAATTAAATAGTAACTTGGATGATAATCAAAAAATAATATGTAATATTTGTCAAGAAAAAAAAATAAAGAAATTAATTGACAAATGTCAAAATGAAGAAATAGCCAGGTTTCTTTATCAGTATAAAGCAGTTTCAAAAACTATTAAATGGATTCCGTTTAATGAATTTAAAGATAGGAGTTATCTAACTCAAGGTGGGTTTAGTAAGGTTTATAAAGCAACTTGGATCAATTTTTTTGAGGCAGTCAATAAGAAATTTGGGGAAAAAACGAAAACCGTTGTATTAAAAAAAGTAAACAATTCCAAAAATTATATCTCAGATGTATGCAATGAGGTAATAATTTATAAAATATTACTTTTTGTAAATATCATTATTAATTTTTATTTATATATAACAAATATTATTTTGCAAACTTTTAGCTAAGAGTAAATGATAAATTTTATTTTTCCGTTAATAAATGTTTTGGAATTACAAAAATTCCAGGTGAAGATAATTATATGTTAGTATTTGAGCATGCTCCAAATGGAGATTTAGATAATCATTTGTCAAAAAGTTTCAAAGAAATCACTTGGAGCGATAAAATTGCTTCGCTTTTTTGGATTTCATTTGGGTAAATTTTTAAATATTATGATTTTTCAATATATAAATATATATGTAATTAATTATTTATTTATTTATTTAATTATTTATATTATTATTAATATAATTAGATTAAAGAATATTCATGATAATAATTACATTCATCGTGACTTACACAGTGGTAATATTTTTTCATGTGATAATGATATGTGTGTTGTAGGAGATTTAGGGTTATGTCAACACGAAAAAGAAAGCCAAGATAAACCCCTTGGAGTCGCAGCATACTTGGCACCTGAAGTATTATCAGGAAAACCATATACAAAAGAATCAGATGTTTATAGTTTTGGTATGATAATGTGGCAATTTACTACAGGCAAGAAACCATTCTATGATAGGTCACATAATAATCATTTTGAACTTATGTCGGATATTTGGAAAGGAAACTGGCCTGAAATTACTGAGGACACACCGCAATTCTATGCCGATTTAATGAAAAAATGTTGGGATCCCAAGCCAGAAAATAGACCTGATTTTAACAAAATTTATGAATATTTAGATAAATGTCATAGTGAAGAAAGAGAAAGTATTGTATCAGCAGAAGATAAACGTCGAGAAATTATTACTTCAGAAAAATTTTTGTCAGATGAAAAAAATTATAAATCAAAACATTCACAAATAATAATCATTGAACAAGCATCACCTAACTCAAATTCAAATGAACAAGATAGTAAACTTCGTGACTTACGGCTTTCGAAAGTTATTAATAAATAAGATTTTGTTATTTACAGGTGATGTTGGTGATTGGTGGTTGCCGGTGTTGCTGATGTTGTTGGTGTTGGTAGTGTTGATAAAGAAAAATGATTAGAAGGAGAATTCATTATTATTATTTATTAATTTATTTATTTATCTTTTTACTTGTTTATGATATTCCCTAGACAAAAGTATTTAGACACCTATTTAAATCACAATAATCAATCAAAAAAATATACAGTTTGTAGCTTAGATTTTGACGAGCATGCATATTTAATCTCATGATTTTAATCTGAAACTTTAGTTAGCTTCAATTATTTAAAATTTATAAAAAATTGAAAATAAAATTAGACCTTGATCCTTCCATACGTGTTACCAATTAAGTTGTAATATTTTTCATAAGGAATTCCTCCTTCATACATGCTTCAAGTTGAAATGATTTTTTGAATGCCTTTCCCGTTTTTTAATCTTCTTCCCCACAGGTACTCTATTAAATTGAGATCTGGACCAATCAATCAGGTAATATTTTCACCACTCATACTAGTGATGTGATCCACGGATATGCTATTACTAAAATTTAATCCATTTCCACAAAAAACACATCCGACAGATTGAATAGGTGATCTAGGATATGAATTTTGATTAAATATTAATTATCTGAATTGTCTTGTATCGATGGATACACTATACTAAATAATTACTTTTTCTAACAGTTTTAAAACCAATCCTTTAAATGTTTCCACTCTTCGTCACTTAGTATCATATTCAGATTCCATAAATTTGCTAACAATTAAATGACTTTCCTAAGTCTCATCAAACAAGGTTACTATAGTAAAACCTCTATATAATAATAGTGAACCGGAAATATATTTATATTGAGAACATTCCTTTTATATTAATATATTACATCAAACACGTAATCACAAAAATGAATTCTTTGGTGTGATTAGTCTAATGACATTAAATAAAAAAATAAAAGTTTAATTAAAATGAAAAGGAAGGCAACTGTTCATGAGGCAATTTATCCTATTTCGGAGTCATGGAAGCAAGTTACCATTATAAATTTTTGGTGCAAAGCTGGAATTCTACCTCTTTCAAATGGTAGATTTAATTACTACAAATGGAAATTAACTAACAAAATATTCAACAAATATGCAAGAACAAATTGAAGTTAAATGTTGTAAATGTTGATGATCCATTGACAGCTGAAGGTATAATGATAAATCAATTATTCAAATATTCATTCAATTTAGTATCACCAACATCTAACTACCCATTTTATAAATAGAGTATTGAATTGTAGATCAAATTGAAGAACTTGAAGATGTTTACATCTGGATAAAGTAAATAATTTATCAGATTCTGATAAGTCCAGAAACTTGTATTACTTGTAAAATTTTTGGAAAGGCTCTTTTGTTTTTGGAGCAACAAGATGATGAATTTGGTTACAAATAAATATAGTTGTTCATAGGATTCTTAGAAAATGTAAAAATAAAGCAAATAAATGTGATGAATTAAAAAAAAAGGTTCACCCAAGCAATATTTTTGGATTTGAAAACAATTAAGGAACTATTGCCAACATATGATCTATCGTCACATCTGCCTTTTTGGAATTACTCGGCTCCATATAAGTCTTTGTAAGTTAACAAGAGCTCCACCTTGTACTTCACCTTAGAGCGGAAAACATACAATCATCTGACCTCTAATTCTCTGTTGGCTGGGATCACTATACACACTGGTGTTGCCAAAGCAACTGAGTCCAAATCAGTCATCTCCAGTGTTGTCAGCGGACGCGGACATGGACACGGACTGTCCGTGTCCGTGTCCGTCACTTTAAATGTCCCGGACTATTCTTGGACAAAAATATAAATTTTTGCCTACTACCTCTTTCTTAAAGCTTTGGTGAAACTGTAAACACTTTATGGTACAATTAACAAAGCAATAAAGCTCCTGTAGAGTTCCTTTTATTTGCTTTACTTTTACTTTCTTTGGCCAATTGAAGTCAGCTGTATGTTTGCAACAATTACTTTACAATAAAATAATTCAATATGTGATAATGACTTGTATAGGTGGTCAATTAACAAAAAATTAAACAAAAACATTTACACTTAACAAAAACCAAAAAATCAAACCTTTGCTTTCTTACTAAAACAAATATCTAAAAAAAAATCATTGCTTTAATCACTCTGATAACCAAATGGAGGTTAAACCCTACTGTTTAATTTCCGACCATAAAAGTGTTTTATTAAACAAAAAAAGAATTAATTTGTTTTAAATTATGAAAATGTTTATTGCGAATGAATTATTTGTAAAAAAATAATTTTATATTAACTTTCTGCTTCTACTCTAAAGCAAGGCTCTGGATTATTAATATAGAATTATTTAATTAACTGGTTGATTGATTGATTTTCAAAAAAATTAAGACATTTTTCTAAATGCCGATTTATTCGATCCTTTTTGTTTGGAAATCATTTTTTCTTCCATTCCTCCTCTCCCAATTTTTCAACGCATGCTTTACAAAACGTTTTTGAATTGCTTTGGTTTAGTTTTAAATAATATGTTGATATAATAAAGGTGGTAAAGGCGTTTAACTTGTGGTTTGTACTACTGGTCCTGGACATATTAGGGTCCGGGACATTTAAGAAAATGAGCGGACACGTCCACGTGACAAATTGTTACGCGGACATTTTTGGACATTGTCCAGGCAGGACATGTCCATGTCTCCTCATACTCAATATTGGTATTAGACGGACATGTCCCATGTACAACACTGATTAAGATGATCATGATCGACAAAAAAATTTAATGATATCTAAAATACAGAAATAAATGAATACATGTGGATTAAAATTATTTGTTGTAATATTAGTTTTTCCATTTTTCTTTTCGAAGATTTAAATGCTTTAATTCTTTATAATCTAATTGACTTTATTATCAATTGGTTTATTTTGAAACTTGGAAAATTTTGTTATTTGCACACATTCGGATAAATAATCTATCAATTGTTGGTTTATTAATATATTTTTAGTATTTTGTTACTCGCAAAAAT